ACACAACATCCAGAAAATGCTTTTCAAATGACACATTTTCACATGAAACAAAAACTGCTAAGTATATTGAAATACTATTTGAAATACCTTTAAGCAAAATCAAAACATAGCCAAGTGGACTGGTACCTACCTACCTAGATAGTATCAGTATAAATGGCCTTGTACCTACCCATACCTATATTGATATAATGCAAGTTTGACAAATTTGACGCAATCCAGCTTGAAGCAAATAACCAACAAATAACGAACCACAAAGACACAAAAACATGCCAGCACTTAAAGAAAAAAGGTCTTGTGCAAGACAACCCCCAAAAACCATGCCACAAATGATTATATGTAATCAATAATAGATAATTGCCCACGGCCCACGCGCTTGCCCAAACTGAAACGGACGCCTCGCACCTCGAGCCTTGAGAAATGGCGCGGAGGATGACTCGGCGAGGGAAATTAGAGGAAAGGGATTTCCTCTTTACTGGTTTTCAATTTGATAAAAATGATTCAAATTGATGAAAACTTCAAAATAGCATATCATATTTAAAAAGAATCTAAAATAAATGAATATTCGACCTCAATCTGGCTGCTTTATTTCAAATAATATATTAATAAGCAAAGGGATTTTATGCCCTAGACAAACATTACTTCATGTAAAAGTGATATCAGCATATGTCGGTATTATACCTGCAATCGGCATCAACTGGGCAATAATTTTATGCTATGAAAAGCGCCGTCTCTCAACGATTCTAACGGTACCCAATTTTTTATAAATACAAGTCGAGATTGCTTAAACGTTCCAAATTAAATGAGTTGTTCCGTGACGAAACATGGTCACGGCGTTTCAATAAAACTATATGAAAACGTCCATAAAAATATAAAAATTTGACATAGAAACAATCAGAATGGAACAATCTATGATGCTATACCTAATTTGAACCGACTGCAAGCCTACTTCAACCTTTATTCTACCCTTACTTTTGTTCCGTGTCACGGAACAAGAATATGGTAAACTGAGAAATGCACTGCCATTGAAATGCCGTTATGAGGATATGGCAGCCTCACTGAACGGGCAAAAGCGACCGTCTTTTGGGAAATTCGACAAATAATGCGCATCACGGTCAAAAGTAATGTTTATTTTTTTGTGATATCAGTGTTTCCTGCATAAAAATCGTTTCCTGCCCAATAGTGGACGAGAAAGCAGGAAATCGGTAGTTACTGATTTGATGAAAGAATACGCAAAAGGAATGGCAGTGTATCCATAAACGTGGTGTGGATTGTGCATTGTGCAAAGACGTTGTGGTGAGGCTGGGACTGAGGACTTGCCATTCAAGTCGTAGGTATTGGTATGGGTGGTTGTTCGTGGTAATATTGATTTATCGTAAGAAGCATCTAACCTCATTCCGTGCACGTGACATGCAGGTGATCATGGTTGAATTGGATGGTAGGTATCATCCTGTCACGGGCTGATTCTCTTTCGTAAACATCTGATTCTCATTCGTAGACAAACCAGGAGAAATGTGATGGAATGGAAACATTTATTTATTTCACAAACACACTCAATAGCATACATTCAAGGCACGTATACTGGATTCATTCCTTCACGCTTGTTTTAAAACTTGCTGGATAGTTTGACATGGTTTGTCAATACTTCAATCTTGTAAGCACCTCAACTTTGGAAAGTAATGAATGACTGGCATTTTAATTGATCCAATTATGATGATTGCATGGTGAAATTGTGGAGTAACTGCTTCTTATCTGTTTCAATAGTACTTGCAGGATGCTTGCTTGCTGCTTTTGAGATCTGAAAACAGAACAAAGCACAATGTCAAATTTTCGATTAACATGTTTCTTTAGTAAGTTTCCCTTTCAGTCCTGTGATGCCCAGTTGCAGTTGATACTTAGTCAGTGACGGAACAAAAAAAGTGATTATTAGCAGTGAAAAATATCACAGAACAAATCTTCCAAGTTCAAAAAAATTGAGAAACCGGCCACTTTTCTGACACTGCCAGGGTGGGTGTCATACTCTGCAGGAGTGCCAGGGTAGATGTCATACTCTGCAGGAGTGCCAGGGTAGGTGTCATACTCTGCAGGAGTGACAGGGTAGATGTCATACTCTCTGCAGGAGTGTCAGGGCAGGTGTAATACTCTGCAGGAGTGTCAGGGTATGTCATACTCTCTCCAGGAGTGCCAGCGTAGGTCTCTGCAGGAGTGCCAGGGTGGGTCTCTGCAGGAGTGCCGGGGTAGGTGTCATACTTTCCGCTGGAGTGCCAGGGTGAGTCTCTGCAGGAGTGCCAGGGTAGGTCTCTGTAGGAGTGCCAGGGTAGGTCTCTGCAGGAGTGTCAGCGTAGGTGTCGTACTCTGCAGGAGTGCCAGGGTAGGTGTCATACCCTCTGCAGGAGTGCCAGGGTAGGTCTCTGCAGGAGTGCCAGGGTAGGTGTCATACTCTCTGCAGGAGTGCCAGGGTAGGTCTCTGCAGCAGGAGTGCCAGGGTAGGTGTCATACTCTGCAGGAGTGCCATGAGGGTAGGTGTCATGCTCTCTGGAGGAGTGCCAGGGTGGGTCTCTGCAGGAGTACCAAGGTAGGTCTCTGCAGGAGTGCCAGGGTAGGTCTCTGCAGCAGGAGTGCCAGGGTAGGTGTCATACTCTGCAGGAGTGCCATGAGGGTAGGTGTCATGCTCTCTGCAGGAGTGCCAGGGTAGGTCTCTGCAGAAGTGTCAGGGTAGGTGTCATACCCTTTGCAGGAGTGCCAGGGTAGGTCTCTGCAGGAGTGCCAGGGTAGGTGTCATACCCTCTGCAGGAGTGCCAGGGTAGGTCTCTGCAGGAGTGCCAGGGTGGGTGTCATACTCTGCAGGAGTGCCAGGGTAGGTGTCATACTCTCTGCAGGAGTGCCAGGGTGGGTCTCTGCAGGAGTGCCAGGGTGGGTGTCATTGATCACACTGTTTTTGATGTCTCACCTTATTTCTGTCTTCTTTTGTTCCCTCCATCTTCAGTGTTATATCCCACCCACACCCCTATCTCCGCTGTTCTTGCCCTCTTCCCACCAGGTTATGTCCCTCCCTGTCTGACTCAGCACCCACCCACCCCCCCCCCCCCCCGCCCCCGCGTCTCCGTCAGGTCTGGTGATGAAGCAGCTGAAGCTGAAGGAGGCGGACCCGCAGCGGTCAGAGGTGAACCAGCAGCTGGAGCAGGTCATCCCGCGGGTCAAGGAGCTGGCCGCCACCGCGCGAAAGGCCTCCAGCTCGGCTACCGAGTGAGTCGACCGGACTGGGCTGTCCGGACTGGTCCCTGGACCGAACTGGGCTGTCCGGACTGGCTCGGACTTGTCACTGGACCGGACTGGCCGGACTGGACTGGCTCGGACTCATCACTGGACCGGACTGGGCTGTCCGACTCTTGACTGGTCCGGACTGGTCACTGGACCGAACTGGCCGGACTGGACTGGCCGGACTCGTCACTGGACGGAACAGAGCGCGGTACGTTGTTGGATCGTCGGAATATTCTATCTGGTTGTTGGGCAGAAGCCAATGTCTCTGCGTCTACTGCGTAATACATGGTGTCTAAGGGATATTTCCGGATGTGTGGGAGATGACTCCTTAGCACTGTGGGGCGGTTAATTGGTTGAAACGCCTGTCGAATGAAATATCCATGACGATTACATATGTAAGGAGTATGAACGTTAGAATATCACTCCACGCCGGATACAGAAACTTTAATAACATACGCAGCAATAACACCAACTTCACTTGAGACTGCATTGGTAAACACACTAATAACACCTACACCACCACAGTTGGACAATGGACATACACGTGCTAAACTCGAGATGGAGACTACACCGAGTCGTTAGGCAATAACGCGAACTGCAGGAGACTGCACTGATTCACACACCAACAACACCGGGATCTCCGGAGACTGCATTGGTCCACACAACAATAACACCGGGATCTCCGGAGACTGCACTGGTCCACACAACAATAACACCGGAATCTCCGGAGACTGCACTGGTCCACACAACAATAACACCGGGATCTCCGGAGACTGCACTGGTCCACACAACAATAACACCGGGATCTCCGTAGACTGCACTGGTCCACACAACAATAACACCGGGATCTCCGGAGACTGCACTGGTCCACACAACAATAACACCGGGATCTCCGGAGACTGCACTGGTCCACACAACAATAACACCGGGATCTCCGGAGACTGCACTGGGTCACACAACAGTAGCACCAGCTTCACTGGGAGACTGCAGTGGTTCACACAGCAATAACACCAGTATCCTGGAGACTGCACTGGCTCACACAACACAACACTACCACACGGGTATCACTGTAGACTGCACTAGCTCGCACAACAGTGCGAGCTAGTGCAGTGTAGTCTCCAGCACCGCTGGAGACTACACTGGCTCACACAGCAACAGCCCTTCTTTTGTTGGGGACTGCAATGGCTCACATAACAACATTTCTTTTGATATTGCACTGCTTCGCTCAAGCAATAACACAAATTTACAACCCGCGCCGTGCTGGGGGGGGGGGGGGCGTTTCGCCCTTTCGCGTTTTTTTTCGTTTTTTCGCGAATATCTCAGGAGCCGGCCCAGGAGCCGAGTTAGACGGGGGATGGCGTTTTCACGTCCTCCCCCCCCCCCGCCCAAGCACCCACGTAAAACTCAGACCACCAGCATCCGCGGTTAACTGGAGGAGACTGCACTGGCTCACACAGCAATAACACGGGTATCACCGGACAATAACACCAACCCTACTCTACAGACTTCGCTAACTCAGCCAGTGCATGGAGTTATGTTTTCTTCGACGCAGGTCTCTCTAGCCTGATTCTACGTAGATCTTGATGCATTTGGTGAGATGGTGGTCTGGATAGCTCGTGCAGGCCAATCCACCCTGATTTTATTATTTTGTCATTTATTTATTTTATTATTTTTAATTTACGACGCTAATCTTGTCTTCTTACTGTTCAAAGATCCGATCGCCAGGCGAAACACGTCGCGTGTAAATCGACTAGAAACTTTATTATCTAGACAACGATGAGACTCGCGAGCTCAATAACAAGAGCGGCAGGGCTCCACATAAATAGCATTTGTAACGTGAGGCGCCGCGGAACTGGTGCGCACTACCGCGCAGCCCCCGCACGGCTTCGGCCACCCCTTCCAGCACTGGGAGTGGCCCGGTACTCGGTAAACAAACAACACACATCATAGCAGAATGACGGGGCACTGTGCGCGCCTCACACATGATAACACTGATGATTGCATGCGCAGCTGTGTGACGGCGCCTGGACGGAGGTCGAGCGCCGCCGCTCGCCGTGAACATGGACAGGACAGTCTGACAATGGGATGGATGGCACTGGGGCTGGCGCGCTGGCAGATGGCGCAGAGTACAGTGCGGGTACTCTACCGGTCTCTCTCTCCTCACACATCACTCGCTCGCGGGCGCACCGCCGGCGGCTCCGGCCGGTCCCGGTATCTGGGGGGGGGGGGGGGGGGGGGCGGTGGCGTCCCCTCCGGCGGCTCCGGCCGGTCCCGGTATCTGGGGACAGTGGCACTGGCGTCCCCTCCGGCGGCTGTGGCCGGCCCCGGTATCTAGGGACACTGGCGTCCCCTCCGGCCGGTCCCGGTATCTGGGGACGGTGGCGTCCCCTCCGGTGGCTGTGGCCGGTCCGGGACAGTGGCGTCCCCTCCGGCGGCTGTGGCCGGTATCTGGAGGGACAGTGGCGTCCCCTCCGGCGGCTCCGGCCGGTCCCGGTATCGGGTGGCACTGGCGTCCCCTCCGGCGGCTGTGGCCGACGGACGCCGCCAGCGCCGCGCTGCCGGCAGGTCGTTTGTACGCGCCGCTCCACGCTCCGGTCACACCAGGCTGGATTTGATGCCGGGCGGGTCGAGCGTCTGCTCCAGACCGGACATATCCTCGGTGATCCGCGCCAGGTGTGTCTGCAGAGCCTGGATACGCGGCCCCAGAGACAGCCGGCCGGCCGGGTGAGCGCCCGGCGGCCCGCCCGCGCCCCGGTGGAGGTCGTTCGGCGCGGGGTGCAGGCCGTTCGGCGCGGGGTGCAGGCCGTTCGGCGCGGGGTGCAGGCCGTTCGGCGCGGGGTGCAGCCCGTTCTGTCCAGGGTGGATCGCTGTCTGGCCGGGATGGGGTGCTGTTTGTCCCAGATGTAGTCCTGTCTGTCCCGGGTGTAATCCTGTCTGTCCCGGATAGGGTGCTGTCTGGCTCGGGTGCAGCCCTGTCTGTCCCGGCGGCAGTGACAGCGGCGCCGGGTGGTGCGCCAGAGACGGCGACTGCGAGTGCCCCCCGCTCTGATCGGGAGTCACCGTCCGTCCCGAGTGAGACGGAGACGGCTGAGAAGTGTGGTGCAGCTGTGTACTCGGATGGAGATGCGCCTCGTCCTCTGGTACTCCTGACGAAAGATCACACCGGTCAGCTCCAGGCCAATGAGCACTTTCAGTTATACATTGTTTGACATCGTTGATGAACTTAAAGTTTACGTTAAAATGTCAGAGTTGCAGCTATGAGTGAAACCATGCCTCAAATATCTCTGTTTTTTTATCATTACTGTCAATTTCCAATTAGAGTTGTCTTGCGATATAAAAGAAAACTCAAAGATCCTAACTGCCTCTGACAAAAGAACAGTCCAACTGCAGTGGTAGCGGTGAGGTGAGCCACCGTTCCATTCGATACCCGTGTACCGTCCGTAGATGCAGTGATCAGCAGCTGCGTGCTCCGATAGCCGTGCCAGGTGAGTGCTGTGGACAGCCGGGCCGGGCCGGGCCGCGGCGGGTGCCCCTTCCACCCGCTGACCCGGCCCGTGCCCCGGCGCGGTGCGGTGCCTCGGTGCGGCCGCTGGGCGCACTCACAGTTCCGACAGCACTCACCTGGCAGCGCCACTACCTGCGGAGGCGCACCGGCCGCGCCTCACCTGACAGCGCCGGCGACGGGCCCTGGCTGCTGCCGTAGATCTTGGTGCTGTAGCCCGAGTCGTTGTGCTGGTCAGTGGTCTCCTCGAGCTCCAGCGGCCGGAACTGGCGGCCCGGCGGCGGCCGACCCGGTACCGCCCCCGGCGCCGGCGCCGGCGCGCCCGGCGGCAGCGGCTCGTACTGCACGTAGCCGGGGTTGTTGTAGGCGAGCGGCGAGTACGGGCCGCCGGACTCGGTGGCGCCGGCCGGGTAGCCCACGTAGCCGGGCGGCACGCGCGCGCCGCCCGGCCACGGCTCGGCGCCGGCGCGCAGGTGGGCGTTGCGCACCTCCAGCACGGCGCCGTGCTTTGGCCGCGCGCCGTAGCCGTCCTGGGTGTCGCCGGGCCGCAGCGGCAGCGGGTGGTGGCGCGGCGAGGCGGCCGCCGGCTCGCTGGGCGCCGTCTCGGTCGAGTCCTCCTGCTCGAGGCGGCGGCGCAGGTCGCTGAGCGAGCCGGCCGAGCGGAGCGGCGGGTACTCGGAGGGCCGCTGCAGCACGCGCAGGCCGCCCTCGGCGCCGCCGCTGCCGCCGCTCTCCAGGTCGTCGTCGTCGCTGATGTCGGTGAGCAGCTCCTCGCTGCGCGCCTTGTACAGGTGGCGCGCGCTGGCCCGCAGCACGCCGTCCCGCACGCCCAGCTGGGTGAACTTGCCCTCCAGGTAGGCGGTCAGGTCGTCCTTGACACCGCGCAGCTGCACGCCCTGGCGGCGCTCGAGCTCGGTGCGCGTGCGCAGCGCCACCCGCTCGGCGCGGTTGGCGCACTCGGCCCGCTCGCGGCTGAAGCGCTCGCGCATCAGCTCGTTGATGCCGGTGAGCTGCGTGCGGGTGCGCTTCTCCAGACTGGCGATCTTCTTGTCCAGCTTGCCGTGCGTCAGGTCGATGTGGTGGATCAGCTCGTGCTTGTCCTTGTCCAGCTTGTCCTCGACGTGGCGGAAGAAGGGCGCGCAGTAGCACGTGTACCCCTCTCCGACGGGGCCCTGTCGCACACGGGTCAGAGTCAGGGTCACAAGGGGCCCGTGCCTGGTGAGCACAGTGCCGCGACAGGGGAACACATGGTGCAGACAGTGATTGTAACAGAGCTGATCAGAGGCATGTGCAGGCAGTGACTTGACAAGTTCACTATTGTCCCGTTTCGAGACAGTGTTCCCGTGTCGTGATAGTCTCTTTGCACTTAGTCTGGATGCGCTATCTCCCGTGTCTGGGCGTGGGGTATCCCGTCCCTGGATGTGCAATCTCTCGTGTCTGGGTGTGCTATCTCAGTGTCACTCTCTCACACAGGCGCTGTACTGAGCGGCCGCTCTCGGGTTGGAATGCGACGTACAGGTGTTGCAGGCGGTGGGACTGGGTTCCGGCTGACCTGACCATTGACCAATGCTACCTAGCTGGTTCCGGTGCGAGTATAGGCACACCATGCACTCAGGGGCGGGATGAGGTGTAGTTGTGTAGTGGTGGACCTAGTTTTCCCTGTTGGCACTACTTTCTGCCGTACCGGCCTCAGTGTGACGGCGCTGTGACCCTGGCTGCCCCCTGATCCGACCCAGAGAGGCGTCGGGGAGCGTCCGGTCGGATTGGTCCGCCCCCGCCCGTCCCGGGCTGTTGGCGAACAATGGTTTGAGCCGGGCGCCGGCCCGACTGATTGGCGATAAACGGGTCCGGTCCGGGCCGCCGCGGCTGCTCCGAGGCCGCCGGTCCGGCCGGCGACACATTTATTGGTGCCATTCCCGGGTAAATGGACAGGACCGGGGCAGACCTCCGACAGGACCAGAGCATACCATGAGTCCAGAGAGGACCTCAGGACTACGGCAGACCTCCAACAAGATCAGCATAGACCCAGACCGATTCAATAATCCAGACCAAACGAATGAAGCCGTCATTTCTGTGTACTGATAGATGACTGCACAGCGCACAAGACATGTCCCAATGTGTGGTGCTGAATCTTCCCTCAGTAGGTTTACGGGAGTGGGCAGGACCGGATGAATGTGTGGATTTCAGTCCCGGTTTTTACAGCGCGCAGGCCGGCCGTGCGCCCCAGCTCGACCACTTTTAGCGGTAACCGACCGGTACAAGCCACAGACCGGAATTAGCGGATTAGCTCGCGTGCGACACTTCCTCCAGCAAGGCGTCAAAGACCCGGTCGGGGAGGTGTCGGGCGTCTCGTGTCAGTCGTCAGAGACAGGACCTGTCGCCCCACAAGCAGAGCCGGTGTAAAGCGTCACAGGACCTGTGGGGGGCGCGTGGAAGGCGCCACAGGGCCCTTCAGAGCTCCAGTGTAAGGTGAACTGTCGGGACGTCAGTGTAAGGTGTCTGTAAGACCCGTCGGCACGCTGTCCGATCATCGGAGTCTCTTATCCAGCGGTCATCAGAGCCTGTTATCCGTCACTCATGTTTTCTCGGCTCCACACCGGCTCTATCTGTTCGGAGAAGTTCGGTATACAAGGAACAAGTCGTGTTCCGTGTTCTGGGTATCGCGAACACATCAGATGCCACCTCTGGCCGGCTGTGTTATTGGGCGGCCGCGACTCGTGCAGTCTGTGTACAGTGCCATCTGCTCACTGCTCTCACGCTTTTAGTGCAACCTAGCTATACTCTATATGTATTATCATTTGTTTACACAAGTAAAGTTCACTTCTCAAAGTATCTTATATGCATACTTTCTTGGCACATGCAAGGATGAAGTCTTCGATATCAGTGTAAAATAACGGCCTGTGTATGACAGATGATATATGTCGGCCAAACTTTGTTCCGCTACATAAGATACCCAGAGTCATACGGGTGGTTATATCACACATGACCACACAAACACGGCTCAGTGCAGGCCAGAGAAGTTCGAGACATTAGAAAAATGCTAGACACATGAATGAAGGAGTTAAACAATATGCACATTGTACAAGCGTTAGACTACACCAGGCGTAAGCTAGTCAAGCAAAGAAGCGGGTTATTCCGGAAAGCCAGTCATGCAGGCATGCATTGCACGGTCGGTGGTGCTGGCCATCACTGCGCCTCGCCACGGGAGCGTCTTTGGCAGCAGAGTCTGACGGCCGGCGCCCGCCTCGGCCTGTTCGGCTCCCCCGTCTCCGCGCACCGCCCCTGGGCACCGTGTCCGTCACCACCACCGTCCCCGTCAGCGGCGGCGGCGGCGCGTCCACCGACCTTCCTGATGTTGCCGGAGAGGTCGAGGTAGTACTGCTCGCCCTTGCCCAGCGGGTCCTTGGGCAGCGTGTCCAGCCGCGGCTGCGGAAACTCTGTCATATCCGGCGGGTAGAAACACCCGTACGGAGACCACTTGGGCGACGGCTTCTTCGTCTTGGACGACTTCTTGGGCTCGAAGTGCACCTTGGACGATTTCTGGAATGCGTCGAGGGTGGTGGTTAGGCTCCGAGTGCGGGGGTGGGGCGGCGAGGAACGATAATCAGCTGCGCGCGTTATTGGACGAGACACGCGGCCCGTGCACGCCGGCACGGCATTGTTGCACGCCACAGGGGTCAGAGGCCAACGAGCGGTCGTACACACCGCGCCGGCCGGCCCTATAGTACCCTCACAGCGCGCCGCCACTTTCCGGGAAGCGGCTCTGCGCAACAATAACCGGTCTCCGTCACCCACCTTTTTCTTGTCGATGTGCTTTCCGCTCCCCTCCTTGCTGGAGGAGCCGCTCTCCGGTTTGGCGCGCTTCTCCTCGCGCTTCGTGGAGAGTCGCGTCACCTCCGGCGGGTTGCTGATCATCTCGACGATCTCGACGTGCTCCTTCCTGAGAGCGATCTGCAGCGCCGATTCCTCCTGCTGTGGGACGGACGGCGGGCCGGCGGTCAGCGGGTCAGCGGTCAGCGGGCCAGCGGACGGTCAGACGGACCAGCGGTCAGCGGGCCAGCGGTCAGCGGGTCAGCGGTCAGCGGGTCAGCGGTCAGCGGGCCAGCGGTCAGAGGGACCAACGGTCAGAAAGACCAGTGGTCAAAGGGACAGCGGGCCGGCGGTCAGAGGGGCCAACGGTCAGAAAGACCAGTGGTTAGAGGGACAGCGGACCATCGGTCAGACGTACTAGACGTCAGACGTCAGACGGTCAGTCAGCGGGCGGACCAGCGGTCAGAGGGGCCAACGGTCAGAAAGACGGACCAGCGCGGCGGTCAGCGGGTCAGCGGTAGAGATGTCAATCGGATACCAACTTTTTGGTATACCGTTACCAAACCGATACCAACTTGGTATTTAGTATTTCAATCCTAATGTGTTTGGTATTTTGTTGGTATTATGAACCCTTACTTACGTATAAGAGGCTAAGAAATTGGTAAAAAGTTGGTATTTCCCTCATCTTTCAAAGTTGGTTCGGTTTCGGTATTTCCCCACGGTTTTTGTTGGTATTTGGTTTGGTATCGGTATTTCGATTTTCTGTAATTGACATCACTAGTCAGCGGTTAGTCGTACCAACGGTCAGACGGACCAGCGGACGGATCAGCGGTCAGACGGACCAACGGATGGCCAGACGGACCAGCAGACGGTCAGACGGACAGACAGCGGACCAGTGCGGTGATCAGTCAGGCCGACAATCAAACGGACTTACAAACGGCGTGAACTGAGAGGACCAACGGTCAGGCGAATGACAACATCAAACGTTAAATAGGCAAACAGATGGACCGGCGCTGGGACAGTCGGGAAGTCGCCAAAGCAGGCCGTGTAAGCTGTTGTGCGCCTTCCACAGGCCCTTGCAGTGGACAAACTGGGCATCCCGGAGCAGCCAAGGTATCGGCCCGAAAGCGACGGCCTGTCAGCGCTCGGTTCGCCCAAGGTTCGCCTGCGTGTTAGAGAACTCGGCGATACCTGTCCCAGGATGGCCGAGGCCGCGGGTCCTCGGCGACCGTCGGTCGTATTTCACTCCTTGTCACTGGACCAGAGGCCATGTCAGCCTCACCTGGACACGGCGGCCCTGGTAACCGCTTAGCCGGCGATAAAATCGACATACTATTTCAACGCGCTGACAGGCTGCCAATTAACGAAGGATCAGTTGTGGTTTCGTCGATTGGCAGGGTTGAATGGACGTCCGAAACCCTGGCCTGTGACTGCGCGGTGCACCATACGCCTATACGCCTAGGTTGGTCAGTGTAGTAGATACTCAACATCTGAGTAGTCGTATGGACATGCAAGGGAATGCCGGACCCGTGACTGAGCGGAGGGCCAGAGGAGAGACGGCAGAAATGGCCATGAAGGGTCGAGTGGGACCTGTCAGCGTACCGTACGCGCCGTCCAGAGGAGCTGGTCTGGTCAGAGGGACCGACTGGAGCTACGGGTGGGACCGGCGGGAGCTACGGGTGGGAGCGGTGGGAGGGACCGGTGGGATCGGTCAGAGGGACGGCTGAGAGCGCAGGGTGACACTCACTGTGTGGCTTACTGGGACACACAGTTAAAGCGCGGTGTCTGTGTCGACGCGGCTGAACGTACGGACATGCACAGACCGACCCGCGTTGACACTGTCTCCCGCACTCAGTCCCGAATTGTCTGCCGATATTGACAGCACGGAAATGAAGGGCGACGGTAGGTCACCCGCTCCTCTCTCACAGCCGCCCTCGCCCTAGACAGCGCGACCCCAGCTCACCGCGACCCCAGCTCACCGCGACCCCAACCCACCGCGCCCCGCCCACCGCGCCTCCACCCACCTTGTTCCTGAGGTTGTAGTCGACGCCGCCGTCCAGCAGGATCCTGGTGAGTTTCCTCCGGCCCATGGCGGCGGCAATGTGCAGCGCCGTGTCGCCGTTCTGCCGGTAACGGTCAGTGGGGTCAGTGGTGTGCCGGTGGCCGGCTGCCGTCCCCTCCGACCCGGCCAGCGGCGCCCTCAGCCCTGTCGGAGTGGGTAGCGCAGCGGGCCGACCGACTCGACCCACCGACCAGTGACTGGGCACGGCGACAGAGCAGTCGTGATGCTCAGAGACACGCTAATTGAGGTGTGGACCGCTCGGAGCAGATGGTCCCGCCACGACAGACATCGATAGCTCAGCGATATGATGGATCCGACACGCGGGCTCACCTTGTTCTGTTCGGAGAGACTGGCGTCCCCACTGATCAGGATCCTCATCACGCCGGCGTGGCCATACCGCGCGCTCGTGTGCAGTGGCGTGTCGCCGTACTGGAAGGCCACAGGTCGCCGTCAGAGGGGTCAGGAGATCGCCTGTCCCGGGATGGACGACCCGCGCTCATCAATACCCCTCAATGGAAATCTCAGATGGCAGTCCGTATCAGATAACACGCAGCAACTCTCATCGACACACACAGCACACAAAGTGGGCCATTGAGGTCTCCCTCCCTCTAACTTTCTCACCCCGCAACACGCATCCGCTCCGCTCCTGCCCACCCCCACGCGGCCCCGCGCCGATGATCCGCGTCCAACTCACGCTGCAGCTGACCAGTCCCCGTTACCTACTGCCCTCCCTCGGTCCCACTCACGCTGTTGCTGATGTCGGGACTGCAGCCGGCCAGCAGCAGCAGTCGACACGTCTGGTTGTGGCCGTTCTGGCAGGCCAGGTGCAGCGCCGTGAAGCCGCCCCGGTTGCGCAGGTACATGTTAGCGCGCGCCCGCAGCAGTGCGTCCACCGACTGGCTGTAGCCCTTCCAGGCCGCCTCGTGCAGCGCCGTGTTACCGTTCTGTGGGGGAGAGGGCACACTTTACTGAGAGACTGTCATACGGCACTACCGGTGGTAGCAGGTTTACGTCCGTAGGACACTTGTGCCGCACGAGTTTTACAACGTACAAACACATTATCGCCAAACATCGATAGTCTTCCTAACTACTTTACACACAAAAATCTATCTCTGTCGAGATTAGCATACCATCAGCCGGAAAGCTGTAAATGGCAATCTGTTATTGCTAAAACAACATTTCCAGCATGAATCACGGGGTAGGGAGCCATACCTAAAACGGGGAAGACTCGGGACCGCACGGCACGGTCGGCCGTGAGAGGCTTATCGCCGCCATCTTCCGTGCCGAAAGTATCACCGACTCACTCATGGTAGAGCGGGCCTGCAGCATTCGGTTCGGTTCCTCTCCCGTTCCCATATTTGCCCTCGTATCATCGGCAGGGAGGGGTCGGCACTTCTCCCGTACCCATGAACCCCGCTCGCCGGCACGAGTTTGAATACAGAGACGGCGGCGTGGGGCACGGCGATAGCACGCCGATCAGGGGACGCCGCCGCCCCCGACACAGCGCCAGCCAGTCAGTCAGCCGTGGAAGGCTGCACACCCGAATGACGTCACTCGCCATTGACGGCCACGTCACGAACCGGTGTTTGTGACGTCACGGGTGGGCCAGCGTGGCCGGCGACCTGCTCTGTGCTGAAGGGCGCACCGCACCGTCCGCGGCGGCCGGCTCCGAACGCTACGCGGACCGTTCAGCCCAGAGAGGCAGGGCACACAGCTCCCCGTGCACTGAACGTTCTGAGCGGACGAACACCGCCCAGGGAGGCAGAGAACACAGAGAGAGCCGTACTGAGTGGACCAACATCGGTCGTCAGGCGCGGGTTCTGACTTCTAAGGTTCACGGACCTCAATGGCAGAGGAGTTCAATACGGCAGTCTCCCTGCTATTATTCGGCCCAGTCTCTAGTCCCAGACTCTGCTTATACCCAGTCTCCAGTTCTGTATCCAGACCAGTCTCCCACCTAGTCTCCCGTCTACAGGAGTCAGCCTCAGCCCTGTAGTCTCCCGTCAGTTCGACGCACGGCTGTGACGCACGCTGTGAAGCATAAATCACGCCGACACTGAAAGCCGGTCATCCGAAACCCCGCAAACCGCTCCCATCGGCTCGGCGAGCCGCCCCCTTTACTATTCAGAGCGGCACGAATACGGGGCCGGGCGGGGCGAAGCCGTAGCCGAGTGACGGAGCAGGCTGTCACAGCTGATGGCTCCCTCACGTTATACACTCATGGAGTGGCCGTCATCGGCTCCGTCCTATCACTCACGGACCGCCATCAGCTCCGTCACATACGCTCATGGACCAGCCGTCATCGGCTCCGCTACTACACGGAGCGGCCGCCATCGGCAGCATCACCGCCCGCATAGAGTTGTCATCAGCTGGCCGTTACCGCGCTCATGATGCCGCTGCCGACCAACAGCGCCCCTCCGGCGGCGGGTCGGCCGTGACGTCATCCCTCCCGGGGAGAGGGCGGGGAGAAAGGAGAGATTTCTCCGCGCTATCGCCGCCGCCGTCAGTCCGTTCCGGGATGCTGGACAGCCGTTCATCCATGCGCACCATCCGTCAACTGTGACACCTATTGTCCATTGCCTCGTCCGACACACGGGTCATAGGATTGGACAGTTACGGGCACCGCTGGCGTCTCTATCCGAGCCTATATTACAGCAGGTGACGGGCGACGCTCCCACTGACAGTGAGGGCCCGTGCTGCGCTGACCGCCCGCGGCACTGTACTCACCACCTCGTCCTGGTGGTCGACCGTGACGCCCTTCTGGATGAGCTGCTGCACCACCTGAACGTGGCCCTCGGCGGCCGCCCGCTGCAGCGGCGTGTGGCCGCTCTGTAACAGAAACAGAGCGCACAGAGTTAGTGAGAGGTCAGCACATCGGGCACTGACGTGTACGGAGGTCCCGGGCAATACACAGCGTGTCAGCAGACGAGTCGGGACGGGAACGAATTGATCATTGGTCACGGCAGTATACAATAGAGCATGTCAGCACACGGCGTGTGGGAAGGTCCAGGGAAACACGACAGTGGGTGACATCGACAATTGTTATAGACAGTTGACAGTTGTTGTAGTTACCTTGACAGTTTGTTATAGGACACTGCCTGGGACACTGGGTCACAGGGAAGGCTCCGTTTGGAAGAGGCACAGTTGGGCGGGCGGACAGCCGCGCCGCCCGACCGTACTGCTCGTGACCTTGCTCTGTTCCGGCGCCGCCGGTCAGACCAGTCACGGTCACCCCTTCCCCTCCGCCCTCCCCACCCCGTCCCGTGAGAACACGCTGACAGTGCCGGTAACCGATATGCCAGGAAATAGCGGAACCTGACGGAGCTGACTTTCCGCCGGCGCCGGCCGACCTATCCGCGAGGCCCCGCTGACTGCCCAGTTCCCACTCCGGGCCGGCGTGAGACCGCGGGCGGGCTCCACTGTCCGCCGTGAGGCGTATATGAGCCGCCGCGACTGGCCGGAGCCGTGTAAGCCGTGTTTACACCGGGATCCTCTCCACACTCCGGCCGGCCCACATTGCCGGATTAGCCCACAGATCGTGTCGGGCGCCATGTTGGAGTCCGGAGCTAACCGGCGCCGTCGGTAATGAGTTGGAATGTCGCGGGGGGAGCCGTGAATGTCCACAAATTAACGTGAGAGCAGCCGCGGCCGGGGAGGGTGTCGGTCCGGACTTAGCTCCTCTCCGGTGTCGGGACCCCGCGTTGGACTCTCAGTCCGGTCCCACGGCCTGGCAGTCGAGGGTATGTACGTACGCCGCTGTGGCCGAGTGACTAGGGCAGGCTGTGGCAGGTGACTGCAGTCGTTGCCGGGCTCACTGCACGGCCAGCTGCCAGCTCTGGCGGTACACGAAGCGGACAATGGCGTCCCTCTCTCCTCTCTCACATGCACACTGCTCTCCCCAGCCCGGCGGCAGGGTCACCGCTGAGGTGCGGCGCCACATGCAAATGGAGCTCATGAAAGCACCGCCGACTGAGCCGCCTCTATCCGATGAAAGCTGCAAAGTCACACACGGAACAGTGCTGAAATATCGGATAAATCCTCCCGGCAGGGAAGTAAGCTCGATGGAAAATCAGCGCCGAAGCCGAACCACTCAAATCTATTGGACGAAGTTACCAGGATGAGCTGTGTGCGAGATCGATGAGCGATATCACGTTTGGCCGATGGTCTGTTGCATGACTAGTGTTTAAAAATCTCAGTCAGTAATAGGCCGCGTTTACCCAGCGCATGGAACCCAGTGAGCCGGCGAGCCATTTCCGAGGGCCGGCGGCGGCCCACGTGCTGAAGGCCACGCTCGCCGGTGAGCTCCCCTTCCCCAACCGGGGCTCCCCTTCCCCACCCGGCTCCCCTTCCCCACACGGGGCTCCCCTTCCCCACCCGGGGCTCCCCTTCCCCACCTAATTCCCTAGCTGAGTTGCGCAGCGGCTGGCCGGCGTCACCGAGCCCGTACAAAGGCCCCTGTCGGCTGCGGCAGCGGAAACAGCGAGCGGCGGGCCCCGCCCTGTAACCGCGGCCCGCGCCGTCCCGCCCCGCCCGGCCGACCGCCGCGTCATCCCGCCCCCAGCCGGGCCGTCCGCCCGGCGAGCCGCTGCACTGCGCCCATCGCCGACCGATAGCTTCATATCGGCCGGCCGGCACAAAAACGCCGGCCGCCGGCGCCCTCGGCCATTCGCCGGCTCGGCCGACCCCTGCCCCCGTCCAAAGGTTAAACCCATACGGCCGTCGGAGAGCAGCCGTTTTTGTGGTCGGACCGCGCTCGAGTGGCTTTGTGCGTGGCGGCGTCGTGGCGGCGTGCGCTGCGCCGGCCGCTCGGAGTGCACGGCACCTGTCGACCGCGATTGAGGAGCTCGGCGGGCGCGGCGGGCGCAACATCGCCGCCCGGCCCGGCGCGTCCGCGGCACGGCAGGCGGCGCCGCGGGCCCGGCCGGCGGTGCTTAAGCTTCGTAATGGTATCGGCGCACGGCTCGGTATTTGCTGGTGGGGCGCGGCCCCCGCGAGCCGAGCGCTCCCTCCCACAGGGTGGAGCGCGCCGCCGCCGGCGGCACCTTGATGTACCGCCCAGCGCGGCAGTGCACCGCGGAGACGGCGGCTGACGACGGTGCCCGGGGCGCAGGGCCAGACAAGGAGTCTCTGTGGCCGCCGAGCAGCGCTGGAGGTAGGAGGTGGGGAGGGCTTGATTACGCCCCGGCTGGTTGAGTCAGTCTATTTCTGGTTAGTCAGGGATTCTCTCCCTCCTCTGCCTCCGGGCTAGCAGCATAATGAGATCAACAGTTCGGGGTGTGGGGCGCCCGAGCGAGCGATTGGAGCCGCCCACCGCTCCCCCGGCCAGCCGCGGCACTGGTCAGCCGTGCATATCAGCCGCACCGGCCAGCCTCCCGCACCAGTGACGCTGGCCAGCTGCCAGCGGGCCGCAGCTGAGGGGGGGCAGCTGGGCCCGGCTCTGGGAAGGCATCTGATGATGTGTTCTGATACGGGGCTCGGCGAACCAGCTCGGAAGAAGAGCACCTGCGGTTAGCTCAGACAAAGGGCACCTGTCCCAATAAAGAAGTGACTGTGTGTGGGGGCAGTAAAGGGAGAGTGGCGCGCTGCAGGCGGTGCGTCGGAGAGAGGTCAGAACTGTGGACTCGCCTGTCTGGTCCGGGAGGAGGCGGGCACCGGTCCGGCGCTGCGGGACCGGCCCGCTCTCAGAGAGGACAGCAGTCGGGAGCGGGCTCCGAGCAGCGCGCGGCGCCCGCTGCGCGCCTCGCGCTCTCCGCGGGCCTCAGAGCCGTCCCGCCTCGGCCGCTCGCCGTCCCGCCTCGGCCGCTCGCCGTCCCGTCTGTGCCGCTCGCCGCTGGCCGTCTCGGCGGCCCTGCGCCGCCTCTCTGGCGGCAGGCGGCGCACCTCGTTGCCGGCCCACAGCTCGGAGCCGTCGCGGAGCGCCTCCCGGCCGGGCGTGCCGTCCGTCGTGTCCTCGCGGCCCTCCTCCTCGCCCGAGCTGGTCTCGCTCTCCTGGCAGATGGCCGCCGGCGCCTCCTCGGCCGACGTCTCTGAGTGCGCCAGGATCGTCAGGTACTCGCTCTCCTGCTCCTGCTGCGGCGGAGGTGGCGGCGGCTCGGTGGGCCGGCCCCGCTCCGGCGGCGCCCGGACTCCGGGGGCGGCCGAGCGCGCCTCGCCGGAGGCCCGGACTCCGGATCGGCGCGGCTGCACGTCGGCGTACACGGGCGACGGAGAGCGGTGCGTCGGCGGCGGCGGCTCCGCCTGGCGCGGCGTCTCGTAAATGTTCTCCGGCGGCGGCGCCTCCTCCCGCCAGCCGCTGGCCGTCAGCGGCTTGGTGGGGCGCAGCACGCGAGGAGGAATATCGTACGCGGACGTATCCGAGTCGCGGCCAGCGTGTGCCGGCCGCTCCGGCGGCTCAGACCCTCGCAGCTCGCGGCGCCCGTGGCGTCTCGGTCGCTCCTGCCGCTCCAGCAGTTCCTGCCAGTCGTGGTACTTGTGACGCTGCTGGCGCCTCTGCCACCGTTCGCGCTGCTCCTCCCCGTCATAGGCCGCGTATTTCGGATACTCTGCGCCCAGCCGCCGCTGGTGCGTCCTCAACACCGGCCAGTCGAGCCGCTCGTGCCGCCCGGACCGGTGCTCGTGCCTCTCCCGGCGGGGGTACTCGGTGGCGCCCAGAGGCTCCAGGTAGGAGAACGGTCTGGCCCGCTCTCGGAGCTGTGCGGCCTCCTCGTGGCGCCGGTCCGAGCCGCGTCCGGCCCGGTGCAGCCGCAGCTGGCTGACTGCCACCTCCAGGTCCGTGTCGTCGGCGGACAGCGCGTCGAACGACCCACTCCGCTGCAGCACCTCGCGCTCGAACGTCAGCGTCGACACGTCGCTGTCGGCGTCCGGCAGGTAGCCCCGCCGGCCCGGGTACAGCCGGTCCGGGCCGGCCATCTCGACCGGAGACGGACTGAACACGGGGTTAAACGTCACCAGCGGCGCGCACCGCGCCGCGTACGTCGGTGAGTAGAGCGCCGGCATCCTCAGCACGAAGTTGTCCATGGGGCGGCGCCGCGGCGCGGTCACGCATAGTGGCGCCGCGCGCTCACGCGCCGCTAACGAGCCGCGCCGGCCCGCGGCGCCTCCAGACGCTATCGGCCGCGGTCACTATATCACACGCGCGATCTGCGGAGGAGGCGGCGCGGCGCGCCCGGGTGTGCCACCGGCCGGTGACTGACTGGCCCCTGTGTGACCCGGGCGGGGGACGACACGGGCGGGGCGGCCACCGGATATCCGCCGCGCCGGCCGCCGCCCCTCGGCCGGCGCGTCACACACCGTCACACCGTCACTCGTCACGGCGCAGCGGGCCGCGGTCAGGGCCGCGCTCAGTCCGCGCTCAGCGCCGGACCGAGTAGACGCTTTTTGTCCCTGCACCGACCGACCGGGAGTACTTAGCCGCTCACGGGTCTGGCCCGGCCGCAGACGGCTAACGGCAGCCGTGATACAGCGATCACTGTTATTAATGGCTCAGCGCAACTGGCCGGCCGGACGGCACATGCCAGCGCGGCTATCGGCTGGAATTAGATAATCAGCCGGCGAGCGGTGCGGGGCGGACACCCGGCTGTGCCGCGCGGCGAGCCACAGGGAGGGGCGTTCGCCTCCGGTGGTGAGAAGGGCACAGTAGAGGGGAGGGCTACCGACGGCCGGGCGACCACGGCACGCGGACACGCCGGAAGCGCACCGCCAGCCACCAGGGGGTGGGTACTGGGTAGTGGCGGTCCGACCCAACCGCCGTCCACCGATTCGGCATGGCCATTAAAGTTGAGATGGCATGGTTATCGTCGTAAGCAAGCCTCCCCTGACGGTGTAGATAA